TGTTTTCTGAAAAAAAAAGAACCTCGGGTTACAGGTTAAAAGAATATTGAAACCCTGGTGTTTTTCAAGTGTTTTTTTTATTTTTAGTTAATCTTCAGGGAGTAAAAAATTTTGGGAAGCCTTGATATTTTGTTTTTGAAGAAAATTGAACAAACCTCAGACCCCGAGTGTTTTTCTAAGAATTAAAAAGAATCTCAGGGTTCCGATAGTTTTATTTAACTTAAATAAATCTCGAATTTCCATTTACTTTTTTCTTTAATAGAAGCTTCAGGGGCTGTTGTTATTGTTTTATGAAAAAAGAGCCTCGGTTTCAACCTTTTATGAAGCATTAAAAAGAATATTCAGACCCCTGATGTTTTTTGAGAAAAAAGAATGCCACTTTTTGATTTCCTTTTTTTTTTGAAAATTAAATGGTCTCTGGGGTTGTTTTTTGGAAAAAAAAAGAAAGAATATAAGAATTTCAGATTCCCAAATGTTTTTTTTTTGGGAGTATTCAGGGAGAGCTTGGTGTTTTTTTTGAGAAAAAAATAAAATAAAAGGAGTTTCGAGTTCCCCCTTTTTTTTTAATGAAAAAGAATCTTGGAAGCACTGATAATTTGTTTCAAACTTAAGTAAATCTACGATTTTCATTTTTTTTTTATTAAAAAAATCTTTATGGCAGGTTTTTCTAATTTTCTAAAAAAAAAAGAGATAACCTTGGGTTCCAGGTTAAAAAAAGATTGTAACCCTGGTATTTTCCGAGTGTTTTTTTTTACTTTTAGTAAAAAAGATCTTCAAGGACCGTGGTCGTCTGTTTTTTGAAAAAAAAATCTCGTGTTCTCTAGATTTTTCTAAATTAAAAAAAAATTTGGGAAGTCCTTATATTTTATTTTTGGAGAAAATTGAATGAATCTCAGACTCCTAGCGTTTTTTTTTTAACAATTAAAAAGAATTTCACTGTTTCGAGGTTCCGAGTGTTTTTTTTTTAACACAAATAAATCTCGAGTTTCCATCTGTTTTTTTATCACGCTTTTATTAGCTTGGGTTGTATGTATGTATGTAACGGAATCTTTGAGCTTAATTTTCATCGGTTTCTAAAAGTCTGATCATCTTGAAACTTTGCACACGTCTCAAGGATCGATGACAATGCAATAATTTGATAACAGTTTCCCATTATCCTTATTAGGACCGCCAGGATCCTCGATCCTACGGAGACCACTGAGTGGTTCTTTCTAGAAAAATCTAAATAAGTAATTAATTCCCCAATTTATGAATTTGTCGCAGACTAAAAAATGAAAAATAAATAATAGTTTAAAAAACTAAAAAAACACGCTTTTATTGCTAATCGAACTAAAAACTAGAAAATAATTTTTAATGACAGAGTTTAATATTACAGTAGTAGAAGATCAAACAATCAATCATAATAAATCACCTCAAATTAAAATTATAATAAAATTTAAGTTATTAACAGAATAATTCAATTCAGAGTTAAAAGCGTGGGGTGCATTTTACTGCGGTTCATAACTATCCTCTCATAGATAGTTGCCAATAGAATGATTGTAATATTTAAAATATCAAGCACCCCACGCTTTTTACTCTGAATTGAATTATTCTGTTAATAACTTAAATTTTATTATAATTTTAATTTGAGGTGATTTATTATGATTGATTGTTTGATCTTCTACTGCTGTAATATTAAACTCTGTCATTAAAAATTATTTTCTAGTTTTTAGTTCGATTAGCAATAAAAGCGTGTTTTTTTAGTTTTTTAAACTATTATTTTTCTTTAATATATAGAATTTTCAGAGGATGTTTTTTTATCTTATGAAAAATAGAATGTCGTATTCCCGAGTCCGTTTTTTTAATTTTAATTAAAAAGAATATTCGGAATCCTTGATATTTTCCCCCAAAAAATTCACTTTTTGAGTTTTTGAATTTTCTTTTTTTGAAAATTAAATGAGCCCTGCTGTTGTTTTTTTTTTTTTAGAAGGAATCTAAGAATTTCAGATTCCCAAGTGTTTTTTTTTAGAATATTCAGGAACCTTGGTGCTTTAAAAAAAATAGAGTCGCGAGTTCCTTTTTGTTAACTGAACACAATCTTGGGAAGCATTGATATTTTGTTTTTGGAAAAAAATTGAAAGAATCTCAGGTAACGAGTGTTTTTTTTTTAAGAATTAAAAAGAATCTCAGGTTTCCAAGTGTTTTTTTTTTAACTTATATATTAAGTACTTCTCGGGTTTCAATTTTGTTTGTTAAATAGAATCTTCAGGGCTGTTTTTTCTGTTTTCTGAAAAAAAAAGAAAGAACCTCGGGTTCCAGGTTAAAAAAATATTGAAACCCTGATGTTTTACGAGTGTTTTTTTATTTTTAGTTAATTTTCAGGAAGCAAAGAATTTTGGAAAGCCTTGATATTTTGTTTTTGGAGAAAATTGAATAAATCTTAGACCCCAAGTGTTTTTTTAAGAATTAAAAAGAATCTCAGGTTCCGATAATTTTATTTAACTTAATTACCATTATTTCCATTAATTTTTTTCTTTAATGGAATCTTCAGGGGCTGTTTTTATTGTTTTATGAAAAAAAAAGAACGAGCCTCGGTTTCAAACTTTTTTGAAGCATTAAAAAGAATATTAAGACCCCTGATGTTTTTTGAGAGAAAAAATTGTCACTTTTTGAGTTCCCGATTTTTTTTTTTTTGAAAATTAAATGGTTTCTGGGGTTATTTTTTGGAAAAAAAGGAAGAATCTAAGAATTTCAGATTCCCAAGTGTTTTTTTTTTTAGAATATTTGGGACCTTGATCCTTTTTTCGAAAAAAAAAAAATCAGAAGGAGTCTCGAGTTTCCCCTTTTTTTTTAATTAAAAAGAATCTTGGGAAGCATTGATATGGGTTCCAGGTTAAAAAAAGATTGCAATCCTGGTATTTTCCGAGTGTTTTTTTTTACTTTTAGTTAAAAAGATCTTCAAGGACCGTGGTTGTCTGTTTTTTGAAAAAAATCTCGTGTTCTCTATATTCTTCTTAATTAAAAAAAAATTGGGAAGCCCTCATATTTTGTTTTTGGAGAAAATTGAATGAATCTCAGACTCCTAGTATTTTTTTTAAGAATTAAAAAGAATTTCACTGTTCCGAGGTTCCGAGTGTTTTTTTAACATAAATAAATCTCGAGTTTCCATCTGTTTTTCTCTTTAATATATAGAATTTTCAGAGGATGTTTTTTTATCTTATGAAAAATAGAATGTCGTATTCCCGAGTCCGTTTTTTTAATTTTAATTAAAATGAATATTCGAAATCCTTGATATTTTCCCCCAAAAAATTCACTTTTTGAGTTCTCGAATGTTCTTTTTTTGAAAATTAAATGAGCCCTGGGGTTGTTTTTTTTTTTAGAAGGAATCTAAGAATTTCAGATTCCCGAGTGTTTTTTTTTGAGAATATTTAGGAACCTTGCTGCTTTAAAAAAAATAGAGTCGCGAGTTCCTTTTTTTTAACTGAACACAATCTTGGGAAGCATTGATATTTTGTTTTTTGTTTTAACGAGTGTTTTTTTTTAAGAATTAAAAAGAATCTCAGGTTTCCAAGTGTTTTTTTTTAACTTATATATTAAGTACTTCTCGGGTTTCAATTTTGTTTGTTAAATAGAATCTTCAGGGCTGTTTTTTCTGTTTTCTGAAAAAAAAAGAAAGAACCTCGGGTTCCAGGTTAAAAAAATATTGAAACCCTGATGTTTTACAAGTGTTTTTTTATTTTTAGTTAATCTTCAGGGAGCAAAGAATTTTGGAAAGCCTTGATATTTTGTTTTTGGAGAAAATTGAATAAATTTTAGACCCCGAGTGTTTTCTTTTAAGAATTAAAAAGAATCTCAGGTTCCGATAATTTTATTTAACTTAATTACCATTATTTCCATTAATTTTTTTCGTTAATATAATCTTCAGGGACTGTTTTTATTGTTTTATAAAAAAAAAGAACGAGCCTCGGTTTCAAACATTTTTGAAGCATTAAAAAGAATATTAAGACCCCTGATGTTTTTTAAGAGAAAAAAAAATGTCACTTTTTGAGTTCCCGATTTTTTTTTTTGAAAATTAAATGGTTTCTGGAGTTGTTTTTTTGGAAAAAAAGGAAGAATCTAAGAATTTCAGATTCCCAAGTGGTTTTTTTTAGAATATTCAGGGACCTTGATCCTTTTTTCGAAAAAAAAAAATCAAAAGAAGTCTCGAGTTTCCCCTTTTTTTTTTTAATTAAAAAGAATCTTGGGAAGCATTGATATGGGTTCCAGGTTAAAAAAAGATTGTAATCCTAGTGTTTTTCGAGTGTTTTTTATTTTTAGTTAAAAAGATCTTCGAGGACCGTGGTCGTCTGTTTTTTGAAAAAAATCTCGTGCTCCCTAGATTTTTCTTAATAAAAAAAAAAATTAGGTAGCCCTCATATTTTGTTTTTGGAGAAAATTGAATGAATCTCCTAGTGTTTTTTTTTTAAATTAAAAAGAATTTCAGGTTTTTTTCTTTAATATATAGAATTTTCAGAGGATGTTTTTTTACATTATGAAAAATAAGAAAGAGCCTCGATTTTTAGCTTTTTTTTGAACCATTAAAAAGAATATTATTGAGACTCCTGGTGTTTTGGAGAGAAAAAGAATATCGTATTCCCGAGTCCGCTTTTTAATTTTAATTAAAAAGAATCTTCGAAATCCTTGATATTTTCCCCAAAAATTCACTTTTTGAGTTCCCGAGTTTTCTTTTTTTGAAAATTAAATGGTTTCTGTTGTGACCTAAGTAAATCTCTAATTTCTATTTTGTTTTTATTAAAAAGAATCTTCAAGGACCCTGGTCGTCTGTTTTTTGAAAAAATCTCCTATTTCCTAAATTTTTCTTAATTAAAAAAAATTTTGGGAAGCCTTGATATTTTGTTTTTGAAAAAAGAATATTTAAGCCACTGCATTGCTTTATCAATCGTTGCTGTATGTATGCAACCAGTAATACACTTCTACCGTTACAAAAATCCCACCAATCAAAATCAGTACTCCACGCAGTATAAATTTACAAAAATAGCTTTATTTTCTAAATATTTTTTACAACCCTAAAATTAAATAAAATTTTACAATAACTTAATAACGTATTCGCCCCGTCAACAACTTTTCAACAACTTTCACCCGTTGTTGCAAAAGTTCCTTCTTATCGTCCGCAATTCCTTGCGAATCCAAATTTCTCAACAGAAAATGATGAAGAAACAACCGCAAACTTTCCCGGAACATCTTCAACTTTTCAGACTGACCAACCTTTTCAAACACACCTTGACAAACATCCAAATCCTCGTGCAACAAAATCCCCAACAAAATCTGCCTTATGAATCTTAAAGTGACCTTGTCTAGCTCACCAAATTGCACAATCTTAAACAAAAAAAAAAAAAAAAATAATAATAATCAAACTAGAAACTCCAAAACGCCAATAATTACCTTCAATATTGAAATAGGAAGACCCTTCTCTATAAACAAGTGACTTAACAGTTTCGCTAAGTGAGAAATCTGCGTGGCTGAATGATCTTTCAAAGCTTTGAGTTTATCCCAAATGGAGTATTTTATAGTCATCTAGAACGAAATCAATCAAGATATTTTTACAACTGTTGAGTTTATTATTAAGTTTACTTGGTATTTGCGATCATACTCGCAAAATTTTTGCGCCAAAGTCGCGTAATACGGGTTGTAGGCTTTTTCCTGCAGACAACAGTGAAGAATAACGTGGATGATTTCCCGTTCTTGTTGATTTTTTAAAGCCAAACGTAGCAACTTCTCAAACGCGTCTAGATAATCCTAGAGACAAAACAACTAATTTTGACGAAAATGCATCTAGTTTTTCTTACCTCTGCTGACATAATAATGCAAAATATATTTTTTCGTGCGTCAGTGTTCATTCGCTGTTTTATCGCTAAGTCTAGTAATTTTTGAGAGAAACTGTTTGGTTTTTCAAAAGTGTCTTTGGAAGGGGTGTCACTGTCGGTGTTTCCTGTCCAGGCGGATCCAACCACCCACCACTTACCCTTTTCTTCAGCTACAAAAAATTGTTTAGTACTTTACAACCACAATATTAATTACAACCTTTTAATAAATCCTCCAGCGAAATATTCAACTGTGTCACATAATTCCCCTTTCTAATAAACCCCTTCATAATTTTTTTTAAATGTTCAGAGTAAGTGGTGTCATAATTCGGGATTTTTGTGACATTGTTGTTTTTGATGGCTAACAAAATGTCCAACATGAATTTCACTCTGGAACTGTTTTAAAAAATTATAAAATAGTTTGATAAATAAATTGACCTACTTGTCTTTCAAATCATTTGAAACCCCAGAGGCTTTTTTTTGCAAAGTCAGGATCAGATTTTTCAGCGCCAGTGGATTATCTTTCCTAAGATTAAACCCAACGTTCCTAAGAATGTGTAAAATGCACTCTACATCTTTTTCTTTAAACTTGTCAGCCAACTTGTCAATAATTTCATAAATTAATTTACAATCAAATAATTTAAAATTGTACAACTGAGACAAAATAACCACAATATTGTCAAGTTTCTTGTTTTCAATGTTCAGTGAAGTGTTAACGTTTTCATCAAAGTGTTTAACAATAGTTTGTAGAAAATGGGCACCAACTTCTGTTCCAACATTCGCGTGTAGAACTATAATTAGTAAAATGTGTTCCATTAACAATCTTTCAGGTGCTAAAATATTTGAAACTAGAGCATCAAGAACAAGACTTGTGATTGTGCTATTCATGTCATTTCTACTATTATTCATATAGAGTTCTTCAACTTGTGTGGCAATGCTGTGCATATTGCTTTCAGCCAGTCTGTTTATCAAACCTTTCAACTGTCTTTTTAATTTTTCTAGTTTTTGAAGTCTGGCTTTATCAACATTTGCATCTTCTTTCAAAATTCTGGCACCTGGTGGAATATACTTGTCAGATTTGGCCTGAAAAGAAAGTGTGAGAAACAATTAAAATAGTGTTTAAGTCTAACATCAACAATGGTCCCTTCCTTGGTTCTTAGTCTTCCATAAATGTCTTCCCATGTACCATCATCCCTGTCTTCTTTTTCTGACTCATCTGGAGCCTCTGCATCACTATTTTCATCACTAAAATCTGACTCAATTGATGTTTTTCTTTTTTTGGTTGTTTTCTCTGATTTGTCTTCATCATCATCACTACCAACTTCACTGTCACTCATTAATCTTTTCTGACCAACACTGGTCTCTTCTTCATCTTCAGACAAGTCATTGAAAAAATCGCCTTCATCCTCTGAAACATCTTCACCTTCATCATTTTTATTACTTTCAGTCATCAAAACTAAATCTTCCTCAAACTCATCATTGACTTCTGCTAGCTGTTGTTCCGCCAGACCTGAGGTTTTTAAATTTTCTGGATCACAAACTTCCAATAAATCTAGACTATGTTAAAAAAATACACCCTCTACAAAATTGAAAATGAACAAATATAAGGATACAGTCAAGACCATCATTCGAAAATGACGCAGGCACCGCCTTTGATTTTCTTTTGTTCAGTTTGAGCTGCTTTTCCAGACGCTTTATGTTACGGTCTTCCTCTAAATTAGCTTGAACTAGTTGCTTATTGCGTTGCTTGTTCATCTCTTTTTGTAGCTTCAGCTGCATTTTCTTTTCTTTTTCGAGCACTTCTTCAACAATTGGCTGCCGCAAATCAGATTTAAGTGAACAAAATTAACATAACCTAAAAATTACCTTTTTAGTTTTAACAAGGTGTTCTGCTTTTTCGTGATTTTTGGGTGGCTGCTTCTTTACTTGTGTTTCATTATTAACATTTTTATCACTAGTATTTTTCTTAATAAGCACGAATTGCCCAGGTTTTCGTCGATTTGTGTAATACTCATTGCGCCTAATTTTTTTGTTTTTTCTTTCTTCCTTTCGTAATTGTTTTCGTGTTTTGGGTAAATTTGACTTGGGTTTGGGTTTTTTGGCCATTTTTGTCTTAAATCAGCGTGTTAACTATCTTTAATAAATCAAAACATTGGCACGTGTGTATTATAGGTTAGGACTGCATTTTGACATTTTTGCTAACGAAACGGTTGGCATTACTGTTTCCATATTGCAATAATTTTGGCGTGAATTGTACGCAATTATCGTGTAAATAAAAGCATAAAAGTTATATTTGCTTATTAATTTGTTGCATATTTGTTGCTAACTTATCATACTGTTTCAATGATAAACAAAAAATGATCTAGTTACTTTCCAATTCTGCATTTGGTAACAGATTTCTTTTTCTCCAACTCAGTTTAAAGATTTACACATTAGACGATCTATCCTTGTTGCATACTTAACTTTTGACTTAACCGAGAGAGATGAATATAGTCGTCGTAATCCACACTTTAAATTACTCAAGTTTGACATCTGGTCTGTTTTCTCCTAATTTTATGTCAAAATATAATAAGATTCAAAGTGATCTCATTTTAAAATTGTTGAAAATACAGTGCTTGTGCATTCATTTTTACTAACGTCGAAGATGAATTAGCTTCAGTACGAATCGTCGCTTCTGCAGACGTAAACGTAAACAAAGGCAAGAATCAATACCCCAGCAAAGAACTGGTATGTTGTGTAATTTTCAAAAATCGTGTCACATCACGAGACTTTCGCAGGATTTCCAAGCCATGGGTAATGAGGATTGCGGCGAGTCCTCCCAACAGAACGAAAACGAGGTCGAACGTCCCCTGAAAAAAGCCAAATACGTGTGGCAAGTCAAAGGCAAGTACCACCTGAAAGCCAACTACGAAAACAAAACTGAACCCAAAGTAGAAACGAGTAAAGAAAAACGCTGCGACTGCAGCGAACAAAACATTAGGGAAGAACGCAAGTGTATTGATAAGTTTCTAGCAAAGACTGAATCTTTTCTAGACAGTGACGACGACGAGAGCGTTTCTAGAAATATCGATAAGTCCATATCGAACGAAATTCCTATCACTTTGGTGTCGCCTAACCCCAAAAACCAGGACTATTATTTGAGGAAGTGGCAAGCGCGGCAGATCGCCAGAGGGTACATTGACAACACTATTAATAAAGTGTTGGAGAATTGGTCTTCGGCGCCGTTTGACGCTGAAGATTTCGTGGAAAATTGCGACGACGATGGTCGCATTGAGAATCAAGGGATTTTAATGGCTATAGAGGCGCACGGGCTTCAGTCTAACAAGTCGAAGAAGGAGGCTTCGTTGTCGTTTTTAAGGCCGGATGAGTTGGCTGATAATACTTTAGATAAGATTGATACTGCGAGGAGTCAGTTTCTGAAGGAGGGACTAGGGTTGGAGGTGTCTCCGGAAGAAAATGCGGCTGCTGTTGATACGGAACTAGAGGCTAAACTAGGGATAGGGGTGGAATATCCAGTCAGCGTACTAAATGCGGCCATTCTGGTCGCTATTGAACGGAAAGGGTTGTCTTCAAATAAATAATATCCACAGTATGTATTGGTATTTAATATGATCAAAGACTGTTCACTGATTTTAATATGTAAGTATTATTTTTTTAAGTTCTTGCTAATTCGTAGCTTTACTATATATTTTGTATTTTAATACTGGATAGTCATGTATTTTGTTCGTAGTTGTCTTTTCTGAGTTGAGGGAGAGACGTCAGTCATGTTGAATGTACATACGTGACGCAAATGAAGGGATAAAAGTTAATAAAACTAATTCAGAGTTTTCGCATTTTTATTTCATTGTTGACACATTTAAACTATGTCTTAGTTCTACACAATCGTCGTTGATGTTGAAGGTTTCGGGTCGTCGAACCTCGTGGAACGCCGTCGGGATTCGGCTTCTTTTTTGGCAGCTTTGGTTAGATTAGACAAACTTCGATCCCTTAAAAAATAATACTATGTAATTATAATTTTACACATGTAGTTTTTGACTCCGACTTGAGATTTTACCCGAAACGTCCAGATTTTTGGAAAAAAAATCAAAATTACGAAACTACATTTTGACATTTAATTTGGAATCTGCAAAACCGAATGCTTTGAAATCTTGGAGATGTTGGACAGTTATCATAGGCATGGTAAATTTTTAGTCAAAATATATTTCCTCATCCCCCTTAAAAAATTGATGACGTCACCTCAAAATTTTGCCGAAAAAATCCGTTTGTAAAGAAATCCATCTGTCGAATGACTAATTTTGTTTTCTCGACGTTTTTCGATTTTATATCACAATTTTTGGTTTCTTTATTTTTTTGTTGTTTCTTTCGATTTACAATTTTTTATTTATTCAATTTTTCAAATTTACAGGCTTTGATTTTTCAATTCCATGATTTTCTACGTTTAAAATTTTTCAATTTCTTTAATTTTCAAAATTTTTAATTTAACAATACATATTTCTTTTTTTTAATTTTCATTTTCTCGGTTTTAAGTATGTCACAAATTTTCATTTTTTCAATTCCTTTATTTCTTGTTGTTTCTTTCGGTTTTTCAATTAAAATTTTTCAGTTTGCAGTTTTTGGATTTCCAGTCTTCCAATTTTTCAATTTCTTTAATTTTCAATATTTTGATTTTACAATACATATTTCTTGTTTTTTATTTTTCACTTTTTCGATTTTTAAACTTTTCAATTTTTAATCTTTCGATTTTTCAAATTTTCGTTTCTTCAAATTTTCATGTTTGATATTCACTTTTGACCTTTTTTAAGTTTTCATTATATGCCTTTTCGTTTTTTCATTTTCGATTTTTCAATTTTTCGTTTCCTCAATTTTTCAAGTTCTCGATTTTTATTTTTTATTTTCCCGATTTTTTTAATTTTCATTTTCTCGGTTTTATGTCACAAATTTTCATTTTTTCAATTCCTTTATTTCTTGTTGTTTCTTTCGATTTTTCGATTTGCAGTTTTTGGATTTCCAGTCTTCCAATTTTTCAGTTTCTTTAATTTTCAATATTTTGATTTTACAATACATATTTCTTTTTTTTTTTATTTTTCACTTTTTCAAATTTTAGTTTCTTCAAATTTTCATGTTTGATTTTCACTTTTGACCTTTTTCAAGTTTTCATTACATATATGCTTTTTCGTTTTTTTATTGTTGATTTTTCAATTTTTCGTTTCCTCAATTTTTCGAGTTCTCGATTTTCATTTTTCATTTTCCCGATTTTTTTAATTTTTATTTTCTCGGTTTTGTCACAATTTTCATTTTTTCAATTCCTTTATTTCTTGTTGTTTCTTTCGATTTTACAATTTTTCATTTGTTCAATTTTTCAAATTCAAACATTGAATTTTCAGTTCGCCCATTTTTCAATTTTTAAATTTTTACTGTGCAGTTTTTAGATTTCCAGTCTTTCGATTTTCAATGTCTTTAATTTTCAATATTTCTATTTCATAATACATATTTCTTTTTTTTTTGAAGTTTCACTTTTTCGATTTTAAGATTTTTCAAGAATTTTACAAATTCTCGACTTCCAAAATTTTCAGTTTTTCGTTCCTTCAATTTTTCGGCTTGCATCAGTTTTTCAATTTGGCAATTTTTCCCTTTTCCAATTTTTTGTTTCCGATTTTTATTTTTCATTTTCCCGATTTTTTAATTTTCACTTTTTCGATTTTATATCACAATTTTTCGTTTTTTCATTTCCTCTATTTTTTGTTGTTTCTTTCGATTTTACAATTTTTAGTTTATTCAATTTTTGAAATTTTCAGGTTTTTTTCAATTTTTCTTGGAATTTTCAAGTTTGATTTGCACTTTTTACATTTTTGAAGTTTTTATTATACTTACACTTTTTAATTTTTTTATTTTTGATTTTTTAATTTTACAGTTTGTCGACTTCCAAATTTTCCAATTTTTCAAAATTACAATTTCTCATTTTTCCATTTTTCACATTCTCGATTTTTAATTTTTACCTTTTTCAATTTTTCGTCCCCTAAATTTTTCAACTCCCCGATTTTCATTTTGCATTTTCCTGATTTTTTATTTTTCATTTTCTCGTTTTTATATCACAATTTTTTGTTTTTTCATTTCCGTAATTTTTGTTGTTTCTTTCGATTTTCCTATTTTTCGTTTATTCAGTTTTTCAAATTTTCAGGCCAATCGATTCCATTTCGTCGATTTTCCAATTTTTAAATTTTTCACTTTGCAGTTTTTAGATTTCCAGTCTTCCGATTTTTCAAGTTTTCATTTTGTAATTTTTCGGTTTTTATTTTTGATTTTTCAATTTTACAATTTCTCGACTTCCAAAATTTTCAATTTTTCGTTTCCTCAATTTTTCAAGTTCTCGATATTTATTTTTCATTTTCCCGATTTTTTTAATTTTCATTTTCTTGGTTTTATGACACAAATTTTCATTTTTTCAATTCCTTTATTGCTTGTTGTTTCTTTCGATTTTTCAATTAAAATTTTTCAGTTTGCAGTTTTTGGATTTCCAGTCTTCCAATTTTTCAATTTCTTTCATTTTCAATATTTTGATTTTACAATACATATTTCTTTTTTTTTATTTTTCACTTTTCGAATTTTAATTTTTTCAATTTTTAATCTTTCGATTTTTCAAATTTTCGTTTCTTCAAATTTTCACGTTTGATTTTCACTCTTGACCTTTTTCAAGTTTTCATCATATCCTTTTTCGTTTTTTTATTCTTGATTTTTCAATTTTTCGTTTCCTCAATTTTTCAAGTTCTCTATTTTTATTTTTCATTTTCCCGATTTTTTTAATTTTCATTTTCTCGGTTTCATGTCACAAATTTTCATTTTTTCAATTCCTTTATTGTTGTTTCTTTCGATTTTTCAATTAAAATTTTTCAATTTGCAGTTTTTGGATTTCCAGTCTTCCAATTTTTCAATTTCGTCAATTTTCAATATTTTGATTTTACAATACATATTTCTTTTTTTTTTATTTTTCACTTTTTCGAATTTTAATTTTTTCAATTTTTAATCTTTCGATTTTTCAAATTTTCGTTTCTTCAAATTTTCGTTTCTTCAAATTTTCATGTTTGATTTTCACTTTTGACCTTTTTCAAGTTTTCATTATATGCTTTTTCGGTTTTTTATTTTCGATTTTTCAGTTTTACTGTTTCTTGACTTCCAAATTTTTCAATTTTTCGAGTTGCAATTTTTCGATATTACAGTTTCTAATTTTTCGGTTTTTCACATTCTCAGTTTTTAATTGTTGTCATTTCCAATTTTTCGGTTCCTCAATTTTTCAAGTTCTCGATTTTTATTTTTCATTTTCTCGGCATTATGTTGCAAATTTTCATTTTTTCAATTCCTTTATTTCTTGTTTTTTTCAATTTTTCGTTTCAGTTTTTCGAATTTTCAGTTTCTCAATTTTTCGTGTCCACAATTTTTCATGTTCCCGATTTTTATTTTTCAATCTGGCGAATTTTTAATTTTTATTTTCTCGATTTATATCACAATTGTCCGTTTTTTCATTTCCTTTGTTTTCTGTGTTTTTTTTTCTATTTTACAATTTTTCATTTGTTCAATTTTTCAAATGTTCAGGCTTTGAATTTTCAATTCGTCCATTTTTCAATTTTTAAATTTTTACTTTGCAGTTTTTAGATTTCCAGTCTTCCGATTTTCCAATGTCTTTAATTTTCAATATTTTTATTTCATAATACATATTTCTTTTTTTTGATGCTTCGCTTTTTCGATTCTTAAGATTTTTCAAGTTTTCATTTTGTAATTTTTCGTTTTTTATTTTTGATTTTTCAATTTTACAATTTCTCGACTTGCATCATTTGAATTTGGCAATTTTTCAATATTAGTTTTTCATTTTTCGATTTTTCAGTTTCTCAATTTTTAATTTTTCCTTTTTTCAATTTTTTGTTTCCGATTTTCATTTTTCATTTTCCCGATTTTTTAATTTTCGCTTTTTCGATTTTATATCACAATTTTTCGTTTTTTTTATTTCCTTTATTTTTTGTTGTTTCTTTCAATTTTAGAATTTTTCTTTTGTTCAATTTTTCAAAATTTCAGGTTTTTTCAATTTTTCTTCAAATTTTCAAGTTTGATTTGCATTTTTTACATTTCTCAAGTTTTTATTTAACTTACACTTTTTCGTTTTTTTATTTTTGATTTTTCAATTTTACAGTTTGTCGACTTCTAAATTTTCCAATTTTTCGCCCTCTAAATTTTTCAACTTTCCGATTTTTATTTTTCATTTTCTCGATTTTATATCACAATTTTTTGTTTTTTTATTTCCATAATTTTTGTCGTTTCTTTCGATTTTCCAATTTTTCGTTTATTCAATTTTTCAAATTTTCAGGCCAATCGATTCCAATTCGTCGATTTTCCAATTTTTAAATTTTTCAGTTTTTGGGTTTCCACCCCTTTTTTACTTTATGGATTTTCAATATTTCATTACACTTAAGATTTTTCAAATTTTCGACAGTTTTATACTTCGATTTCTCTTTTTTTTTCAACTTTTCGATGTTTTAATTTTTCTTTTTTTTTTATTTCTCAATTTATCGAATTCAGATGTTTGGATGTTTTGATTGTTCAATTTCTCAATTTTTTCTATTTCTCGATGTTTCGATTTTTAGCTATCCGATTTTTCAATTTTTTTAAATTCTGGAGTTTCGATTTGTCGATTTTTCAGTTTTTCTGTTTTTAAGGTTTAGATTTTCGAATTTTTCTTTTCTGATTCTTTGTGTTGTTGCGATATTTCAATTGTCCAATGTTTTAAATTTTAGATTTTTCGATTTCTGTATTTTTTGATTTTCCAGTTTTTCAATATTTCTATTTTCCAATTTTTCAAATTGTGACGTTGCTAAATTTTCAGTTTTCCGATTGATCACCCCACCCCAAAAGTTTTCCGAAAAAATGCTATCTTAAATGTGCATTGTGCAAAGTAGTAGCTTACGTTCGCGGAGTAAATGTGCGTTTACTTACTTTATGTGGACGTAAACACAAAATCCTGTAACTATAAGCGTTGCGACTATGACCATTCCAAAAACAAAAAGTCCAGCCGCTAACTGAGTTCTCATTACTACATTGACGTGTTCTTCAAGATAACCTAAAACTAGATTTTAGTATAAAAAAATTTAAAGTGGTGGGTAATTTACGAATGTTATCGGTAACGGTTACGGTCATATTTAAAATTTCTGATGCGTTGTATAGTTGGACGCAGCCCTCATCCTCAAACCAAGCATGGAATCTGTAAATTAGCAAAAATTTTTAGAAAGAATGAGCTTTGAAGGAAAGAGCTAAAAGCATGTTAGTTGATCAGCGGGCATCAAGTTTGCCTTTGAAGTTATTCTAAATACAATAAATTTGCTTATATATGGTGCATTGATGTCTAGAAGAGACGATTAAAGTTCCACAATTATGTACCTAATGTGTTAAACATCTGGCTAATAATGTAAATAAATGTTTTCTTATAATTTATGGATATTTGTGCATCTGTTTTCATTCTGACGGCTACAAATTGACATTTTAAATTTCAATGTTTTTGTACCCAAAAATAATTTAATTTTTTTTTGTTTGATCGTGTCTGGTGCGTATTCGTTTAGAGGAGCGGAATAAGATTGTATTTTTCAGATGTGCTGAATTTATTTAATCCTTCGTGCCTCTGCGGAAGTCGTTGATTTGAGTGTAATTTTAACTTGACGGTTTGGTGTTGACATTAATAAAAATAAATTTTAACGGCCGCTATATAAATGTTTGTGAATATTTTTTACTGCAACCGTGAAAAAACTTCAAATATAAATTACTTTTTTGTTAATTAATATTTATGTAAAGTCAAGATAATGTGTTCTGAAAAGTCGAGATAATTAATTTTGTTTTAATCAAAACAAATAAGACAGTGGCGTACCAATTAATAAATCTTTTGGCAAGAGAGAAGCACCTATAAAATTTGCAAAATAAAAACCAACAGAATTTTATTTGTTCGAAAATAAACCTTAGAACAGAAATTTTCAAAAAAAGCTGTAAGAAAAAAAGCAAAACAGGTTACTACTACAGGTGTTGTCAGAAATATTTTTTGCGCTCACAAATTTAACCTGTGACATCCGCTGCAAGCCCACAATCAGTCTTATTTGTGGGCATTGACGCCACCGAACAAATATTTTCGACGAATTGTGCATTTTTGAAATTTTCGGATGTTTTTACGCTGCCACTTACATTTGGTTTTGCGCCAAGCTTTGGTTTACTTTTCTTTGTTGGTGATCCGTCGTTTAACGCTAATTAGCGGAAAGGTAAATACGATGTCGATAGTTTGGCAACACATGGGTTTTAACATGTGTCGACAACTAACTATAAGTAAGTTGCCGTTTATTTTTTGATATTTACAAACAAAAAGGCTTGCATTGGTTCCATTTATTCCAGAAGAATTAATTTATTTCCTGGGATTTTTGGAATTGTGGATTTTTTGATTTTTTAAACTTTTTGGACGTTTTGGATATGTTCGATTTTTTCGATTTTTGAAATTATTGGACTTCCTGACTTTCTTGGGGTTTTTGGATTACATCGTTTGTTTAGATTGTTAAATAGGATTTTTTAATTTTTTTGGGTTTTTTGTTTTTTTATTTATTTTTGGATTTATTCCATTGTTTTAATTAATTGGGTAATTTTAATTTTTTTTAGTTTCTGATTTTTTGGATTTTTGGGATATTTTCAATTATCTACTTGAAATTATTGGAGTTTTTGAGTTTTTTGGGTTTCGTGGATTTTTTATTTTTGGATGTTTTCGATTTTTTGCTTTTTGGATTATTTGTTTTTTTTTGGACTTTTTGTTTTTTTGGATTTTTGGATTATTTCGATTTTTTAGTTTTTGGTTTTTTTTATTATAATTTTAGGTTTTCTATTTGAATAATTCAATTTTTTTTCTAGTTTCTGGTTTTTTGGATTTTTTAGAATTTTGAAAAAGTTTTTATTTTTTGTATTATTGAATTTGTAGAGTTTTTTTTTGAGTTTCTTAGGTTCCTTTGATATTTTGGATTTTTTGGAATTTTTTAATTCATTACTTTTAGGATTTTTTGAATTTGTGGATTTTTTTGGATTTTCACATTTTTATTTTTTGGATTCTTTCGGATTTTTTGAATTTTTTGAGTTTTTCGGATTTGTCGGATTTTTGAGATATTTTGAATTGTTTGGAATCTTGGTATTATTAGAGTTCTTGAGTTTTTTTGAGTTTCTTGGACTTGTTTTATTTTTTGGCTTTTTTAAATTTTTTAGTTTCTTCGATTTTTTGAGATTATTGGAGTTCTTGCATTTCTGGGGCTTTTTGGATTTTTTGGATTTTTTTTATTGTTTGGTTAATTTTTATTATTTTTTATTTTCTGATTTTTTGGATTTTTGGGATATATTTGTTTTTTTGAAATTATTGGATTTCTTGAATTTCTTGAATTTTTTAGATTTTCGGATATTTTCGATTTTTTTTGGATTACGGCATTTCTTGCATTTCTTGGATTTTTTAGATTTTTGCTTTCAGGGTTTTCTGAATATATGGATTTTCTGGGTTTTTGGATTTTTAATTTTTTGGATTTGATTTTTTGGATATTTCGGGTTTTTCGGATTTGTCGGATTTTTGGGATATTTTCGATTTTTTGGAATCTTTTTTTGAATTTTTTGGCTTTAGTCGATTTTTTGGGTTTCTTGCATTTGTTGGATTTTTTAATTATTTTATTTTTGGATGTGTGGATTTTTTTTTGGATTTTTGATTTATGCGGATTTTTTGGATTTTAATGTACTTTTTTTTTATTCTTTTGGATTCCATTGGGTCTATTGATTTTTGATTTTTTGTATTTTTCGAATTGTTTGGATCTTTATTTTTTTATTTTTCGATTTTATGGAATTATTGCAGTTTTTGAGGTTTTTTGATTTTTTATATTCTTTGACTTTTTCGAATTTTCTGGATATTTTTGATCTTTTGGATTATTGGATTTCTTAAATTTCTTGAAAGTATGTCTTTTGGATTTCTTTGGATTTTTAGTTATTTTTTCGGATTTTATTCGGATTGTAGAAATTTTTCAAAATTTCTAATTTTTCGCATTATTTGGGTTTTTAGACTTTTGGGTGTTTTTTTGGTTTTTGTTTGGTTTATTAAATTTTTTTTATATTATTATTTATATATTTTTAACTTTTTTGTTTTTTTACTATTTTTTTTATTTTTGGGAATTTTTGATTTTTTTTTTTTTGGGAATCTATAATACTGGAACTGTTAAGTTTTGTGAGTTGCTTGGATTTTTTCGATGTTTTCGATTTTTGAATTATTAGGATCTTGAATTATTTGGTTTTTTGATTTTTTTGGATATTTCGGGTTTTTCGGATTTGTCGGATTTTTGGGATATTTTCGACTTTATTGGATTCTTATTTTGAATTTTTTGGTTATAGTCGATTTTTTGGTTTCCTGCATTACTTGGAATTTTTGGAATTATTTGACTTTTGGATTTGTGGATTTTTTTGAATTTTTGGATTATGCGGATTTTTTGGATTTTAATGTATTTTTTTGATTTTTTGGATCTCTTTTCGGATTGTTTGGATGTTTATTTTTTTATTTTTCGATTTTTTTTTTGGTTTTTGTGGAATTATTGGGATTTTTGAGGTTTTTTGAACGTTTTGGGTTTGTTTGATTTTTTAAATTTTTTGATATCTTGGATTTTTGTAAATTTTCTGGATAGTTTTGATATTTTGGATTATTGAATTTCTTGGCATTTTCTGTCTTTTGGATTTTTAGTTTTTTTGGATTTGATTCGGATTGTGGGAATTTTTCTAAAAGTCTGATTTTTCGGTTTGTTTGGGTTTTTAGTTTTTTTTTAGATTTTTTTAGATTTTTTGGGCGTTGTTTTTGATTTTTTGAAATCATTTTTTGGTTATGTCGATTTTTTGGATTTTTAAATTATGCGGATTTTTTGGATTTCAATGTATTTTTTTTTATTTTTAGAATTTTATGGATTTTTTTGGATCTCTTAATTTTTATTTTTTGCATTTCTTGGATTGTTTGGATCTTTATTTTTTTTATTTTTCGATTTTTTGGATTGTATAGAATTATTGGAGTTTTTGAATTTCTTGGGTTTGATTGATTTTTTTAAATTCTTTGATATCTTGGATTTTTTTGAATTTTCTAGATATTTTTGATGTTTTGGATTATTGGATTTCTTGAATTTCTTGGATTTTTTCGGATTCTTATTTTTTTTCGGATTTTATTCGGATTGTACGAATTTTTCAAAATTTTCGATTTTTCGGATTATTTGGGTTTTTAGATCTTTTGGGTGTTTTTTTTTTATTTTTTTTGGTTTATTCAATTTTTCGATTGTTTAGATAATTTTAATTTTTTTTTGTGGTTGTGAATAATTTGGATTTCTGATTTTTTCGATATTATGTGTTTTTCGGATTTATCGGGTTTTTAGGATATTTTCAATTTTTCTATATTTTTTTTAATTTTTTGGTTATGTCGATTTTTTGGGTTTCTTGCATTTCTTGAATTTTTTGGAATTATTTGGTTTTTTGCATTTTTCAGAACTTTATTTTTTTATTTTTCGATTTTTTTGGTTTTTGTGGAATTATTGGAGTTTTTGAGGTTTTTTGAGTTTTTTAGGTTTTAAATCCTTCGATATCTTGGATTTTTTAATTTTCTGGATATTTTTGATGTTTTGAATGATATAATTTCTTGGAATTTTCTGCCTTTTGTATTTTTTGAATTTACATATATGGATTTTTTTTCGGATTTTATTCGGAAAGTAGGAATTTTTCAAAATTTTCTTTTTTTTCGGATTATTTGGGTTTCGATTTTTTAAGTGTTCTATTTGATTTTTTGGTTTGTTCAATTTTTTCGATTATATTTAATTATATGTTCTTTTCGGGTATTTATAATATCGAAACTCCTAAGTTTTGTTGAATTTCTTGGATTTTTTCGAAATTGTCGATTTTTGGATTATTGCGTTTCTTGCATTTCTTGGATTTTTGAATATTTTTGGATTTTTGGGATATTTTCGAGTATTGTTTGATTTTTTAGATGTTTTTGGAAATGCTTTGATTTTTTGATGTTTTTGAATATTTTCTATATTATATAGTTATTAATTTAACTACTGTTTGTGATTTTATTTAAAAAAACAGTCACTTTAGTAGTGCAACAACAATAACAATAACACAGTTTATTGCCGTAATTACGGTTTACATCTAGCGAAACAAAAGCATCATTAATATCGTATATGATTGTTTTTTTAATAACGCATATAATAAAAAAAATATGTAAGGCATATTGCAGAAATGTAAGTAGTTATAATTCCTGATTGGACATTTAAAATAATAATTTCAAAAAATAACTAACGATAAAACACACAAAAACTACGTTCCGGTTGATATTCCAATATGATTTTATTTTTAACATTCACCACTTGTTATCTGACAGATGCCGACCTTGTTTTTTAAAATCCACTGATACACTAATTGCGTTTATTCATATGTAGAGTGTTTGGAAAGTTTTAAATACCAACTGCGTGAAGAAAAATAGGTAAGTACGCACAAGAGACAAAAGTTTGCTTTTTGTGTTATTCCAAGTTCTTAATTAGTAATTACAAGCTACATAGCATCATGCAGTCGTCAGTTGCCACATGTGTTACTATTAATAATTACCTAAATTGACGTTAATAACTACCTATCACAAAGACATCTCAGGACATTTTCTTGGTCTAATTGGCACTTATACCGATGGTCCGAACATTCTTCCGTGCTGTTGCACGTCTCGTTGTAGCCGGTTCCTGCGTGTTTTGATCATCAATTAATCGGAACGTTGAGATTTCTTCCGGTACTTACTTTGACCATAACACAAGACAAACTCGAGAAAAAGGATCACAACTTTGACACAAAATTTGTACATTTTCATTTATAAATGGGTTTTGCGGAGAAATTCGCGACTTGTGCCGCAGGAGTATAATATTAAACTGTATGTGACTATAGAGACGATCTATAATTAAAGGCGTTAGTTTATTCCACCGGCTTTCCAAATTAAAAATACTTGCCGATTATGACATACCTGAAATTGCTTCCCGAATTCGAAATTTTGGCACCACGAAATTCAATTTGGTTATCGCGAAGACGCAGCCGAAATGATGCGTGGACGTTTCTAGCTTTTAAAATTTAATTACGAAACAAATGAGTCATTATGCCATGCCAAGTTCCCATTAGACTAAATTTAAAAATGAAAATAGAAATATTTATGCTGTGCGGGGTCAATAAAAGCTCGGATGCGGATATAAAGAAAAAGCTGATTCACGTTCAACATCACACCTTGAATCATTCATCAGCTAGTAGATGTAGTGCCCGGAACTTTGAACTATTTTCAACTATTGTCAGAATTAGGTGACTTTTGTGACTAAAAAATTGCTCGACGTGAAACTAAAATTCGCTTGACCGCACACGAATTTTTTTCAATTTATAACACTCGACTTATTACTAATGAGCCGTCCAATCACCTGTCGCAACATTATTTTCTCAAAATTATAAAAACAAAACGTCCGCAGGTATCAAAATAGGCGACCTGGAAGCTAAAAATAATTAAATAAAGTCGGAATAAAGCGACTTAAACAGTTTAAGTGCAGTCGAGTGCAAGAGTCCAAAATGGACAAACCGCGATTCGGAAAGTGTATTTAAAGCGCGATAACGAGCATCACTGCCAGATTTAAAATGCGATATATTTTTTTTCAAATCTACTTTGAAATTTATTAAGTCGTTCGGCGAAATTTACAACCGCGTTAAATTAGCGTAAATTATGTATCTGGATTAAAGAAGTCGTAAAGGAGCATCTGAAACAAATTGCGTTTTTTTGATATGTTTATTCTACATCAGAAGTGGGACACCTAATAGTTTCAGACGTTGTAGTAACCCGACGTGAGTAGTAAAACTTGAGGAACGTTTTACATATTTTAATGTTATGACAACTATTTTTGACCACAACTTGTCTACGAAATTTGCTAAGTATTCAGACACTTTTTATCCACGTTCCATTAATTTCGTAGATACGACAAAAACATAAACTGCCACATTATTGGACGAGTCGTACATAAATCTAAAATAATCTTGTTCTGCGAAAATTTATGGTCGCACTGCGTTGTAAATCTGATTTTCTGAGATAACTGGGAAGATACTAAATTTTTAGACAATGCATGTTTGTATTTTTTGCAATAAGCAAATCGCGATTCATTTCGCATTTTCTATTATTAGGTGGGGTTCTGGCCGATTTTCGTGATAAATCGCTCTTTAACACCTACCGGTTTCATTGCAAGTCGATGATGAAAGGTAAATATATATCTGAGGATTTAACTTATTGCCGCCGTAAAACGTTGTTTTGGTTGTTATGAGGTTATTTATTCGTCGGTGCATGTGGTCTGGGTTGTGAGGTTTCAGCAGGTGTTTTCCTGTTTTTTGGCGCCTCTGGTTTGATATTTATTGGAATGTTTTGAGGAAATCTGCTTCAAAGAGCGAATTGGGTTTAATTGAAAAATGGATGGTTTCGATGAAAACTGTCGCATTATTTGTTTATTTATAGTAAACAAATGTTAGTCTGGACCAACGTAATGTCGATGAAAGAGGGTTAAAGTTCATCTAAAATCTCTGTTTCCTTAAGATCACTAAAAATTCAACAAATATTTGGTGACCAAACTTTGGAATTGTTGAAATACTTGATTTTTTGGGTTCCTTGGGTTTTTTTTAATATTTTGGATATTTTCAACTTTTTGGATTTCTTGCGTTTCTTGAGTTTCTTGCATTTCTTGGATTTTTTTTGATATTTATGGATTTTTTGGATATTTCAGAGTTTTCGGATTTTGGAATTATTTGACTTTTTTTTGAGTTTATTGGGTTGTTTGATTTTTCAAATTTTTTTGGATATTTTAAATTCTTCGATTTTTTGTTTTTTTCTTTTTAATATTTTGTATATTTTCGATTTTTTGTTTTTTTTCCATTTCTTGGGTTTTTGAATTTTTTGGATGTTTGGCATAAGATTTTTTGGATCGTTGGAATTATTGGAGTAGTTGATTTTGATTTTTTTTGGGTTTCTTGGGTTGTTTGATTTTCAGATTTTTTTTGATATTTTAAATCCTTTTTTTTTAATATTTTGGATATCTTTGATATTTTCGATTTTTGGATATTGTGTTTCTTGATTTTCTTGGATTTCTTGGAATTTTCATTTTTTTGATTATTTTTGGATATTTCAGATCATTCGGATTTTTCGAATTTTTCGGATTTCCCGGATTTTTCGGATTTTTTGGAGTTTGGAATTACTTGAGTTCTTGATTTTTTTTAATTTATTAAATTGTTTGATTTTGCATTTTTTTTTATATTTTGGATATTCTCAATTTTTTTGATTTTTTGCATTTCTTGGGTTTTTTGGATTTTATTGCTTTTCGGATTTGTTGGAATTCTGGATTTTTTTTGGATTCTTTGGATATTTAAGATTTTTCGGATTTATCGAATTTTTCGGATTTTTTGGATTTTTCAGATTTCTCGGATTTTTCGGATTTTTTGCATTTTGGAATTATTGGAGTTCTTGATTTTTTTTGTGTTTCTTGGGTTGTTTAATTTTTCAGATTTTTTTTGGACATTTTAAACTCTGATTTTTTGTAGTTTTTTTTAATGTTTTGCATATTTTCGATTTTTTCGATTTCTTGCGCTTCTTGGGTTACTTGCATTTCTTGGGTTTTTGAATTTTTAAAATTTTTGGGATATTTGGATTTTTTGGATTATAATGTATTTTTCGGATTCCTTTAGATTCCATAGATTTTTTTTGTTTTCTGATTCTTGATTTTTAACATTTTCCGGCTTTTTTGATTTTTCGGAGGTTTAGGATTTTTGGGATGTTTTCAGTTTTTTTGGATGTTATGGAATGATTGGAATTCTAGAGATTTTTTTTGAGTTTCTTGAGTTTCCTTGATTTTTAAGTTCTTTGATTTCTTTGATTTTTTTTTTATTTTGTGGATATTTTCGATGCTTTGGATTATTCGATTTCTTGAGTTTCTTGGGTTTCTTCCATTCTTGGGATTTTTGGATTTTTTGGAATTTTTTGCTTGTTGGATTCTTTGGTTTTTTGAAATTTTTGTTATTGTACTTCTTGATATTTTTTGATTTTTGAGTTTCTCAGGTTGATTTTTCAGATTTTTTTGGATATTTTAAATTATTCGATTTTTCGGATTTTTTTTTAATATGGATACTTTCGAATTTTTGGATTTCTTGCGTTTCTTGGATTTCTTTTATGTTTTTAGATTTTTCTTGTATTTCTTGGAATTCTGGATATTTTTGGATTTTTTTGGAATCTTTGGATATTTCAGATTTTTCGGATTTTTCAAATTTTTCGGATTTCTCGGATTTTTTGGATTTTGGAAATAATGGAGTTCTTGATTTTATTTGAATTTTTTACGATCTTGTTGTTTTTTTTTTTGGATTTTTAAATATTTTGGATTTTTCGAACTTTTCGGAAATTTTAGATTTTTCAATTTTTTGGATTTATTCCAGTTTTGCGATTATTTGGATAATTGTAATTTTTAAAGATGGATTTTTTGGATTTTTTGGATATTTTGGATTTCTTGCATTGTTTGAGTTATTCAAGTTTTTGAATTTTCGAGTTTCTTTGGTTTCCTTGATTTTTATTTTTTTGATTTTTTTTAAATTCTTTGATTTTTTTGTATTATTGGTTTTCTTCAGTTTCTGAGATTTCTTAGATTTGGTTTTTAGATTTTTTGGAATTCTTTATTTTTTGATTTTTTTTGGATTTATTGCAAATTTTCGGGTTTGTGGATTATTGGGTTTCTGTTATTTCTTGGGTTTGTTTTGGAATTTTTTGGAAATTCTTTGTTTTTGGATTTTTTTGGGGTTTTTTGGAATTTCTAGATTGTTTAAATTTTTTAGATTTTTTGGGTATTTTATTCGGATTAATTCAATTTGTTTACGATTATTATTTGAATAATTTTATTTTTTTTGTTTTTTTGGATTTATTTGATTCTTTAAATATTTTGGATTTTTTTTAGTTGTTGAGTTTTGGAATTTTTTGGATATTTTCGATTTTGTGGATTTTTGGTGTTATTCGAGTTCTTTAGATTTTTTTGAATTTCTTGGGTTTCTTCGATTTTAACATTTTTTGGCAATTTTTGTATATATTCGATTTTTTGGATTATTGGATTTCTTCACTTTCTTGAGTTTTTTGGATTTTTTGCTTTTTGGATTGTTGTTTTTTTTTGGAATTTTTGGATTTCTTGGATGCCTTTGGATTTTTTTGGTCTTACTAGATTTTTTGCTGAATATATTCAATTTTTTAGATTATTGAATTTCTTGCATTTCTTCGGTTTTTTGCATTTTTTTTTGTAAATTATAGCTCAGATTTATCGAATTTTTTGGATTCTAGAAATTCTGGAGTTCTAGATTTTTCTTTGAGTTTTTTGGGTTGCTTGATTTTCAGATCTTTTTTTTGATATTTTAAATTCTTTGATTTTTTGTTTTTTTATTATTTTGGATATTTTCAATTTTTTGGATTTCCTGTGTTTCTCGGGTTTGTTGCATTTCTTGGGTTTTTTAAAATTTTTGGATTTCTTGAAATTCTGGATTTTTTGAATTTGTTCGATTCTTTAGATACTTCAGATTTTTCGGATTTCTACGAATTTTTTGGATTTCCCGGATTTTTCGGTTTTTTGGATTCTGGAATTATTGGAATTCTTGCTTTTTTTTGAGTTTTAGTTTCGCGGGTTGATTTTTCTGATTTTTTTGGATAGTTTAAATTATTCGATTTTTCGGATTTGTTTTTAATATTTTGGATATTTTCGAATTTTTGGATTTTTTGCGTTTCTTGGGTTTCTTGAATTTCTTGGTATTTTTTGCTTTTGGATTTTCTTTTGTATTTTTTGGAATTTCGGATATTGTTTAATTTTTTGGATTTTTCAAATTTTTCCAATTTCTCGGATTTTTTGTATTTTGGAAATAATGGAGTTCTTGATTCTTTTTGGATTTTTTTTGGATTTTCTGGGATTTTTGTTTTTTTAATCTTTCGGATTTTTCGGAATTTTTGGATCGTTTGGATTTTTCGGATTTTTAAGATTTTTTGAATTTTTCGATTTTTTGGGTTTTTTGTTTTTCTTTATTTGGATTTATTCCATTTTGATGATTATTTGGATAATTTTTGTTTTTTTTTTAGTTGGGTTTTTTGGATTTTTAGGATATTTTCGATTTTTGCATTTTTGAGTTATTTAGGTTTTTGATTTTTTGTGTTATTGGATTTCTTCAGTTTCTGGGAGTTCTTACATTTGGTTTTTTAGATTTTTTAGAATTTTTTACTTTTTTTTTTGTTTTTTTTTTGGATGCTTTCAAGCTTGTGGATTATTAGGTTTCTGTCATTTGTTGGATTTTTTGGAATTTTTTGGAAATTCTTTGTTTTTGGATTTAACGGGATTTTTTCGGATTTTGTTGATTGTTTAGATTTTTTGGGTATTTTGTTTGGATTCAATCATTTTTTTACGATTATTTGAATCATTTTAATTTTCTTGGTTTCAGATTTTTTGGATTTTTGAAATTATTTTGGTTTTTCTGAATTTTTTCGTTTTACTAGATTGTTTTGTTCAATATGTTCAATTTTTTGGATTATTGAATTTCTTGCATTTCTTGGGTTTTTTTTGCTCGGATTTATGGGATCTTTTTAATTTTGAAAATACTGGAGTCCCTGATTTTTTCGAGTTTGTTGGGTTGCTTGATTTTTTAGATTTTTTTTTAGATATTTCAAATTTTTTGAAATATTTTGAATCTTTTCGATTTTTTGGATATTTTGTTTTTCGATTTTTTTTTAAATTCTTGGAATTTTGGATTTTTGTATTTTTTTGGATATTTATTGATTATTGGGTTTCTAGCATTTCTTATCTTTTTTGGAATTTTTTGAAAATTCTTTGTGTTTGAATTTTTAGGATTTTTTTCGGATTTTCTAGATTGTTTGGATTTTTTAGATTTTTTGGGTATTTCTTTGGATTTAATCCATTTTTTTTCGATTATTTGAATAATTTAAATTTTTTGTTTTTTAGTTTCTGATTTTATGGATATTTTGGTTTTGTGAATTTTTGTAATTCTTGAGTTTTTTGGATTTCTTTGATTTTTTATATTTTTTTGATTTTTCTAAGTTGTTGAGTTTTGGAATTTGTTTATATTTTCAATTTTGTGGATTTTTGACATTATTCGAGTTCTTGAGTTTTTTTTAGTTTCTTGGGCTTCTTCAATTTTGTAGATTTTTTCGAATTTTTTGGATATTTTAGACTTTTTGGATTACAGGATTTTTTCAGTTTCTTCAGTTTCTAACACTTCTTGGATTTCTTTTATTTTTACTTTTTGAATTTTGTTAAATTTTCTGGATTTTTTGGTTTTATTAGATTTTTTGTTGGATTATTGACTTTCTTGCAATTCTTTTGGAAATTTTTCTTCGGGTTTATCGGATTTTTTGGATTTTGGAAATACTGGAGCTCTTAATTTTTTTGAGTTTGTTTGATTTTTCAGATTTTTTTGGATATTCTAAGATCTTTGATTTTTTGTCTTTTGTTTATTTTTCGATATTTTCTATTTTTGGATTTCTTGCGTTCCTTGGGTTTCTCGCAATTTCTTGGGTTTTTTGCAACTTTTTGCTTTTTGGATTTTTTTGGATTTCTTGGAATTCTGGATTTTTCGGATTTTTTGGAGTTTGCCTCTTACCAAGGATCGTGCTTTCAATAAGTAATATTTGGTCTCTAGCTGACTGAATTTTCTGTTGACTTCTTATGACTATTCTTAATGCCCGAGGGTATTATTTAGTCAGTAACGTACCTCAAAGCCAAGACATTATAGACCAATAATAAACCGACAAGACATACCTATTATTAATTTAACTAGTCTTGTTTTGCTCTAAATGAAAACTGCCACATTATTTGTTTATTTATAGTAGACATCTTAATGTTACTTCTGGACCAACGTAATGTGGAGAAAAGAGAGTTGAAATTCACTAAATAAAATCCAAAATTTATTTTTCGTTAATTCAATAAATAATATCTTTGGTTGTCGAACCAAATTTAACTGGTGGCCTAACTTTTTACTAACGTATTAATCAAATTAACTCGTAATTGTTTGTTAAGGAAAATCACACTTACGTTTATTGTCTGTTCGTGTGATTTTTACTCATTGTTTGATTAACAAATTTCGTCGGAAAAACTCACATCTCTTATTTTATTTAATGTGGAAACTACTTTTGGAATAAACTCAATAATTTTGGTCAAAATTAATAATATTGATTCCTTTAATTTGTTTGTATTTCTCGAGCGTAAGATAATCTCTGAAACTACTGGACCGATTGTTCCAGTTCTTTTTTAGCGGAATGGTGTAATATTGTTCAATATTTTTTTCCAACTTGTATTTCAAAATCCATACCGTATATGAAAAAAACCCAAATCACTCCAAAGTGATAATTTCTATTTAATTTAATTATCTAATTGTTAAACGATGATGCCTTTTGTTTTTGCTTCAGTTTCACGTAAGCAGTAAAACACAAGTACACATCAAAGCCAAATATTGACCGAGGAGTTATAATATAGACCTCAAACAAATACCTGTGTCTTGAACGTTATAAAATAATCTCAAAAGCAATTATTTATTTTTCTACACCGAAAACCCCTTCTCACTTTTAAAATAAGTGACTACGCGACACCACAAGCAATATTTATTTTTCGAGAACAATCAAGTGCTAAACACCCATAAATCACAAGAAAATTTATCTCGACGCGGCGAACGAAACAGGCAAATAATAAAATCCTCTTCCCAGTCACCTACATAGCAGCTCGAGGTACAATAATGCACGTTAAATTCAATTACGAAATACGGTTAAGGTTGAAAAAGTTCAGCGCGCATTGCGAAAACCTGTTGGAATAATAATTATAGAGGAAACGCCTGAACGGACTTTTCCCCTCTACCTGCAATAATTTTGTAGATAAAGAAAGCAATTAAGGTTAGTTAATTTTATTTAGAGTTGATAGCGTGTGTGTGTGCGGTTACTAACATGACCAAAATGTAAGTACAGGGTGTTCGAGTGGTCGCTTATTTGTAGTATTTTTTTGGTAAGAATGGAAGAGGCGGTGCGGTGCCAAATCAAGATCGAAAGACCGATGTACGAACACGACCAACTGAGGAAAGATTTCGACTATAACAAGTGTAAATCGAACACATGTAAGTGTGTGCTTTATTAGAAGTATTTTATTATTATTATTTATTAAGGTACTAAGTGTCTACACTTTGAGACGAATTTCAAAAAAATACTTCTGAAAACAATTCCCGTCATCGACTGGTTGAGTCACTACAAATGGAGAGATAATCTTTTGCCGGACTTTATAGCCGGGTTTACCGTCGCTATTATGCATATTCCCCAAGGAATGGCGTACGGCTTACTCGGGAACGTCCCTCCGGTTGTCGGGATCTACATGGCTTTTTTTCCAGTTCTGGTGTACTTTTTTCTGGGGACGTCCAGACATAACTCGATGGGTAAGCATCACTCACGTAGTGGGACAAACGAGCGTGTCCACGACGAAACCCTTGCCGAACTCCCGAAACAAAAAATTTTTTCGACCAAATTGTAGCGATTAGCGTGCTTAAATTCAATTATTCACGCCTTTTTTGGAGTCGACATGGTTATTAATTATTGAGTATACGAGCATGACTTCAATCCGTTGCAAAACAAATCCTTAACATTTGAAAAATCTCTCACCTTCAGGAACTTTTGCGGTAGTGTGTTTAATGACAGGAAAAGCGGTGCTCGAGCACAGTGACCCTTCGTTTTTAACAAAAAGTGCAAAAGTAAATGCTACGAGCGAAAATCCAGCCATTCAATCAGTCGGTGACCTCTATTCACCCGTAGAAGTGGCCACAGCAGTCACATTTACCGTAGCCTTGTTTCAGGTGAGCGATAATTCTGTAAAACCCCCAAAAAACGCACTGTTTCAGCTCGCCATGTACGTGCTCAGACTAGGAATCATCAGTGTTTTACTTTCCGAAACTTTGGTGAGCGGTTTTACGACAGGTGCAGCTTTTCAAGTGATTGCGTCACAGATTAAAGATCTCCTAGGATTGAGGATTCCGAGACATAAAGGACTCTTTGTTGTCGTAAATGTATGCCAGGGAATTGCAAAAATTCAGACGGACCATATGTTCTTTATTTTTAGACAATTCGAAGTGTCGTGGACGAAATATCAGCTACGAACGTAGCTGCAGTGGTTATTTCAGCCGTCACAATATTTATTTTAACAGTGAATAATGAAGCGCTGAAGGTAAGTGGTTTTGGTTGGAGGAAACGAATTGAGTAGTTTGCTTTAGCCACTCATCGCTAAACGGGCAAAATTTCCAATCCCGATCGAGCTGATCGCCATAGTTGTAGGGACTTTGGTGTCTAAGTATTGTCACCTTGAGGAAATTTACGCGATTAGAACGGTCGGTGATATACCCAGTGGGTAAGTACGTATAAGTGGTGGTCTAACTTAGTCAAAATTTTTGCTCCTGTAGGCTTCCAGTGCCAAGCGTTCCGCCTCTATCCCTCGTCACTTCAGTGCTTTTGGACGGATTTACCATCGCCGTGGTCTCTTACAGCATCACATTATCAATGGGTTTAATTTTTGCCCAAAGGCTAAACTACGAAGTCGATCCTAACCAGGAACTTCTAGCTCAAGGAGCGGGCAACATTTTTGGTTCGTTCTTCTCCTGCATGCCCTTCACGGCGTCCCTTTCGCGTTCTACAATCCAGCAAGTGGTGGGAGGCAAAACCCAAATAGCCTCAGTCGTGTCATGTTTCCTACTTCTTTTTGTTTTGTTGTGGATTGGTCCGTTCTTCGAACCCCTTCCAAAGGTTTGTCACCAATCATCATAAACCCCAGACACTTAATTATTGCTTCTAGAGTGTCCTTGCCAGCGTCATCGTAGTAGCTTTAAAAAGCATGGCAATGCAAGTCACTCATCTGTACAAATTCTGGAAACTGAGCAAAATGGACGCACTAGTTTGGCTGGCGACTTTTCTAACCGTGGTGTTCGTTAGCATAGAAATTGGTCTTCTGGTGGGGGTGGTGATGTCGTTGGCCGCCATTTTCGTCTTGAGTTTGAAACCACACACTTGCTTATTGGGGTCTGTACCTCACACCGATCTCTACATTAACATTAACAGATACAAGGGAGTAAGTTGGGGTTAAGAGTGTCTATAATTGTTTTTAGGCAGTTGAGATTCCAGGTTTGAAGATTTTCCAGTACTGTGGTGGGATTAATTTTGCCACTAGGAACATGTTTAAGAGTGAGTTGTTGCGGTTGGTTAACATCAACCCGCAGAAGGAGCTCGAGTATCGAAGAAAACTGACGAAATATGCAGATGAGGTTGTTGGATATAACTACACTGACGGTCTATGTGTTAATGTTGACTTTATAGATAGACGTGAAGGAGGAACAAAGCAATAACGAAAAAGTAGCAAAGTTGCAGAGAAAAATCAATCGTGAATTGAGGTGCTTGATTTTGGATTTTTCTTCCTTGAGTCATATTGACCCTTCTGGTGTTTCGATGCTTCAAGTTGTGACTGATAGTTTCCAGAAAATTGACATTCCGATTTACATCGCTGCATGTCCAGGTTAGTGTCAACTGTGTTAATAAAAGTTTGATATTTTTTTGTAGAACCCATTTATGAAATGATCTACAAGTGTGGACTTGTTAATCATAAGAGTTCCATTCGAACATTCCCCACGGTGCACGACGCAGTCGAATGTGCTTTGGAAATATTCACCGTGAATGCTTCTGCCATATCTACGATCAGTCGTTCTTGAACGTGTTAATTATATTATGTATAGGTGGAAATTATAATATTAATATCGTGATGTATTGACAATGTACCTGAAAAAAATAAATTAATTTACTGAAAGTCGCTGTTTTTGCTTCCCGATATACAACAATTTGCAGTTTAATTTTATGGATTTTTAGAGATTTCGACATCCAGGATTTATTTCCTTCATTATTAATTATTGGTCCTTGATCCTTGATCTTTCATACTCCATCCTTCATTCTTGCTTCGTCTTCGTTTATCCTTTATGCTTTTTTTTGTCTTTTGTCCTCACTTTTTTAATTCTTCGTTATTTGTGCTTTGTCCCTCATTCCTCGCCCCTCGTCACTCGTTGCTCGTCTCTTGTTCCACGTCTCTTGAGCCTCTCGTCCCTCGCCCCTTGAACCTATTGCCCTTTATTTTTCATTCTTCACCCTTGACTTTTCATCCTTCATTCTGTATTTTTTCTCCTTTCTCCTTTGTCCTTTATCATATGTTCGGTATTTTTTTCCTACGTCTTTATTCTTTCGTTCCTCGTCCTTCATTCATCGTTTTCCCCTTTGTTCTTTATTGTTTATCCTTTAACCATCATTTTTTACACTTCACTCTTTATCCTTCACTTTTTTTTTCGACCTCCATTCTTCATCTTTCATCCTACATCCATCTTCCTTCATCTTTCATACCTCATCTTTCATGCTTCATCCTTCATCCTTCATACTCCATCCTTCATACTTCATCCTTCATCTTTCGTCCTTCATACTTCGTCATTCATCCTTCATTCTTCTTCCTTCGTCCTTCATCCTTCGTCTTTTATCTTTCGTCCTTTAACCCTTGTCCTTTATGCCTCGTTCATTATCCCTCGTCCTTTATCCTTCGTCCTTCATGCTTCGTTTTTCATCCTTCGTCCTTCATCCTTCGTCCTTCTTCCTTCATCTTTCGTCCTTCATTCTTGGTCCTTCACCTTTCATCCTTTATTTCTCACCTTTCATTTTTCGTCCTTTTATCTTTCGTCCTTCATCCTTCGTCCTTTATACCTCGTACTTTATCCTCCGTCCTTTATCCTTCGTCCTTTATACTTCGTCCCTTATACTTCATCCTTTATTCTTTGTCCTTTATCCGTCGTCCTTTTCGGCCTTTTCGTCCTCCGTCCTTCGTCCTTCGTTCTTTTCGTCCTTCGTCCTTTTCATCCTTCGTCGTTCGCCCTTCGTCCTTTTCCTCATTTGACCTTCGTCCTTTTGGTTCTTCGTCCTTAGTCCTTCGTCCTTTTCGACCTTCGACCTATGTCCTTCTCCCTTCCTCCTTCGTTCTCGTCCTTCGTCCTTCATTCTTTTCGTCCTTTCACCTTTCCGTCTTTCATCCTTCGTCCTTTTTCGTCTTTTTCGTCCTTCGTTCTTGGTCCTCTTCGTCCTTTGTCCTTTTCGGCCGTTTTCGTCCTTCGTCCCTTTTCGTCCTTTCTCGCCCTTTTTCGTCTTTTTTCGTATGATTTTTAAAAGATTTCATTTTTTCAATTTTACAATTTTAGAATAATTTTTTCATTTTTCAACTATTAGGTTTGAAAAATTTTTTATTTAGTTGATTTTTCCATTTTCGTCCTTCTTCATACCTTTTCGTCCTCTGTCGTCCTTATTCATTCTTTTTCGTCCTTTTCGTTCTTTTTCATCCTTTTCGTCCTTTCGTATTTTTCGTCCTTTTCGTCCTTTATCATCCTTTTTTGTTCTTCGTCCTTTTTGGTCCATTTTCGTCCTTCGTCCTGTTTCGTCTTTCTTCGTCCATTTTCGTCCTGTTTCGTTCTTTGCGTCTTTTTTCGTCATTTTTCGTCCTTCGGCCTTTTAGTTCCTTCGTCTTTTTTCGTCCTTTTTTATTCCTTTTCGTCCTTTCTCATTCTTTTCGTCCTTTTCCGTCTTTATTCGTTTTTCGTCCTGTTTCGTCCTTCGTCCGTTTTCGTCCTTTTTGTCCACTTTCGCCCTTATTCGTCTTATTTGTCCTTCGTCCTTCTTGCTTTTTCGTCCTTCGTTCTTTTTCGTCCTTTTTCGTCCTTCGCCCTTTTTAGTCTTTTTCGTCCTTTTTAGTCCTTTTTCGTTCTTTTCGTCTTTTTTTGTCCTTTTCCGTTTTTTTTTCGTCCTTCGTCCTGTTTCGTCCTTCTTCGTCCTTTTTTGTTCTTTTCGCCCTTTTTCGTCCTTTTCCGACTTTTTTGTCCTTCGTCCTTTTTCGTCCTTTTTCGTCCTTCGCCCTTGTTCGTCCATTTTCATCTTTTTCCGTCCCTTTTCGTCCTTCGTTATTTTTCGTTCTTTTTCGTCCTTCGTCCTTTTTCGTAACTTTTCATCCTTTTTCGTCCTCTTTCGCCGTTTTTCGTCCTTATTCGTTCTTCATCCTTTTTCGTCCTTTCTTGTCCTTTTTCGTTCTTTTTCGCCCTTTTCATCCAATATTTTGGTTTTTCATTGCTATGATTTTATGATTTTTCTTTTATTTTAATATGAAATTTTTCAATTATTGGATTTTTCAATTTTTCGGTTTGCAAATTTTATGTTTTCGATTTTTCAACTTATTTAGGTTTTTTAATTTTTTTGTTTTTTCAGTTTAAAATTTTTCATTTCTTCAATTTTACAATTTTTCATCTTTTTCCGTCCTTTTTAGTCCTTCGTCCTTTTTAGTCTTTTTCGTCCTTTTTAGTCCTTTTTCGTTCTTTTCGTCTTTTTTTGTCCTTTTCCGTTTTTTTTTCGTCCTTCGTCCTGTTTCGTCCTTCTTCGTCCTTTTTTGTTCTTTTCGCCCTTTTTCGTCCTTTTCCGACTTTTTTGTCCTTCGTCCTTTTTCGTCCTTTTTCGTCCTTCGCCCTTGTTCGTCCATTTTCGTCTTTTTCCGTCCCTTTTCGTCCTTCGTTATTTTTCGTTCTTTTTCGTCCTTCGTCCTTTTTCGTAACTTTTCATCCTTTTTCGTCCTCTTTCGCCGTTTTTCGCCCTTATTCGTTCTTCATCCTTTTTCGTCCTTTCTTGTCCTTTTTCGTTCTTTTTCGCCCTTTTCATCCAATATTTTGGTTTTTCATTGCTATGATTTTATGATTTTTCTTTTATTTTAATATGAAATTTTTCAATTATTGGATTTTTCAATTTTTCGGTTTGCAAATTTTATGTTTTCGATTTTTCAACTTATTTAGGTTTTTTAATTTTTTTGTTTTTTCAGTTTAAAATTTTTCATTTCTTCAATTTTACAATTTTTCATCTTTTTCCGTCCTTTTTAGTCCTTCGTCCTTTTTCTGCTTCGTCCTTTTTCGTCCTTCGTCCTTTTTAGTCTTTTTCGTCCTTTTTAGTCCTTTTTCGTTCTTTTCGTCTTTTTTTGTCCTTTTCCGTTTTTTTTTCGTCCTTCGTCCTGTTTCGTCCTTCTTCGTCCTTTTTTGTTCTTTTCGCCCTTTTTCGTCCTTTTCCGACTTTTTTGTCCTTCGTCCTTTTTCGTCCTTTTTCGTCCTTCGCCCTTGTTCGTCCATTTTCGTCTTTTTCCGTCCCTTTTCGTCCTTCGTTATTTTTCGTTCTTTTTCGTCCTTCGTCCTTTTTCGTAACTTTTCATCCTTTTTCGTCCTCTTTCGCCGTTTTTCGCCCTTATTCGTTCTTCATCCTTTTTCGTCCTTTCTTGTCCTTTTTCGTTCTTTTTCGCCCTTTTCATCCAATATTTTGGTTTTTCATTGCTATGATTTTATGATTTTTCTTTTATTTTAATATGAAATTTTTCAATTATTGGATTTTTCAATTTTTCGGTTTGCAAATTTTATGTTTTCGATTTTTCAACTTATTTAGGTTTTTTAATTTTTTTGTTTTTTCAGTTTAAAATTTTTCATTTCTTCAATTTTACAATTTTTCCATTTTCAATTATTTGATTTTAAAAATTTTTCATTTAGTTCAGAGTAGAGTAGAGTAATTTAGTGTGCGCTGTGCTTATCACTATCATTATTTTGTGTTTAATGTGATTATAATTTTCGAAATTGGTGTTAGGGCCACATTATTCGTCTCCCGAATGGGTTCAGAAGTTAATTGAGCTTCTTGTTCATCTTTTTAACGGTATTGTGTGCCTTTTGATCCAGTAAATATTTTTGTTATTGTTTGAGGACTCACGAAGTTGCCGCCGCGCGGCGCTCGGATTATTGAAATCTGTTCATCAGGTGGGTTCACTGTGTTTGTTTACTTTTCAGCTTTATTTTAATATTCTATTTTCTTTGTATATGAATTGCTAATAGTACTTTGCAGTATTTATTCGTGTTTAAAGATCGTCATTAAATACTAACCGTAATACTTTCTGTTGACACGTATACATGATGTCGAATAGTAAAGATGCTTACATGGCCCAGCCTTGTAAGAAATGCAAAATTCTACCGAATTCAGGTTTAACTTGCCTGAAATGTAATTCTTTGAGCCACCCAAGTTGTATAAAACTTCTAAGAAATATAAAATACATAAGTGATAAAGAAATAATTTGTTGTGATCGATCTGAGGATCAGGATGAAGTAAGTCCCAGAGACATGTGGATCCGTACGTTTGTGATAGAGACAATTTCCCCACTGCTGGAAGAAATAAAGTTGTTGAGACAGGAAGTAATGAGTTTGAAGAAAAACAATGATACCGTTGATGCAGCTGTTGCTCCATTACGTTTAGAAATTAAAACTTTGTCAGATGAGGTGAAGTGCCTTCGTGATAGTAATCTGGATCTTGTGAAGCTTCTCTTCAATAGTCCAAACACTAATATTAATAGTAAAGTGTTTTCAAAGTCTTTTAAGTTATCATCTTCAGTTTCTCAGCAACCGAAACATGATAATATATATGATAAGCAGTTGATGAAAGGTCATCCCCCATCGGCAAATAAATCGGCCTTAGAATCTGATATGAACGTGTATAACAAGATTGAGGATACTAATGTTGTGTCTGGGCATAGCAAATCGATCCCGGCAAATGTAGATGACAAAACAAATGATATAGTGTCTGTGCGTAAAAAGCAGGTCCCTGCAAATGTAGACGACAAAACAAATGATGATCAAGGACCGTGGCTAACTCAGCACAGACGTAGATTTAAAAAAAGACCTACTATAACAGGTACATCTACAGATGACAACAATAGTAGCT